GCCATTGTTCGGAAGGGGAATCCCCTTCCATAAAGTCAACTGGTCACTGCTTTTCAAGAGTTTTCCCCCCCTTCTTTGCCTTTTTCACTAGGGCCTGGCTGGCTTTCTCTAAAACAGCGGTTTTCAATCTGTGGGTCACGACCCCCTTGGGGAGACCCTTTCACAGGGGTTGCTTGATTCATAACAGTAGCAAAATTGCAGTGATGAAGTAGCAACGAAAATAGTTTTATGGTTTGGAGGGTCACCCCAACATGAGGAACTGTATGAAAGGGTCACGGCATTAGGAAGGTTGATAACCACTGCTTTAAAACAAAATCTGTCTAATGTGGTCTGCTGTTTTCTAAAGGATTTACTAAATTATCATCAGCAGTATTGATAACAGGGTTGACCAGTTCCTAATCATGATGATTCTTTTCAAAAAACTCTCTTAGGACCCTTATTTTTTATCTAAAAATAGTACAAAAAGTCACAACAACTATAGCCAAGGCAAAACGCTTGGAACACAGCCGCAGAAGGTTTCAACAATGTGCACTAATCACGCCAACCTAACGCTGGGTGACCGGAACACGCGCCGCTTTTGTGTACAAAAGTCACATGCGTCGCGTTGGGTTGCCCGGTTTTGTTCCAGCTCTGAGGCAAAATTTTCTCGACATTTCGAGTCAAAATCCGATTACGAGTACTGATGCAGTTGAGTACCAAGGTTCTACTGTATTTAATGTTAACTAGTTTTTCTTAGAAACAATTTGGATGTGTTTTTTTTCCTTTAAGGAAATTTGAATCTTAAACACATGAATCCACTTCCCAAACCATGATATAAGCCCCACAGTGTTTTCTTTTAACCATACCTAGCAGAATACTTAAGTTTTTGCAAATGTTTAAAGAGAAATTACTATCTTTATTATCTAGCATTGGCCCACGTTTGTAGAAAAAGACACATTCTTTGTTAATCCCATTGGTAGGCTAAACTAGTATATTAGCTTTTATGGCTACTGTAAAAACTTACCAAAAAGTTTGTTGTTTGAAAGTTTATCCTCATGTTTCTGGATGCCAGAAGTCCAAAATGAGTCTCACTAAGCTAAAATAAAAATGTTGGCTAGGTTAAGGTCATTTTTGGTGGCTTTAGGGGAAAATCCCATTTTGTTGTGCAGGGTCCTGCACTACCTCGATGTTCTTAATAATATATGAGTAAAGAACCCCCTAGTTCTAATTCTGCACTTAGCCCTGCTAATTATAGAGCCTCCTCCTAATTTCCCCTGCCCTCCTCGCTCCCTCTGAACCTGTTTTGGCCTCATTGTGACCATCCTTGCCTTGGCCTTATGCAACTCTTCCTTGACTGCACCCAACACCCAACCTTGTTTCTCCCTTGTAATTCACAGCGTCACTGGTGGTGGTATTTCTGTCTTGCCACTTCTCAGTCCTAGGTTATTTTGTTTGTTTTCTCCTTTCAGCAATTGACAAATTCTTAGAATCTATGCTAATCGACTCTACCATCCAGTCTCCACTAAGCCAACACTGCTCTGTTTGGGAGTTCATTTATTTAGTTCATTTTGATTATCTTATAGTTTCTAGATTTTTTTTTCTTTCCTCATATCTTAAAGTTTCTTTACTTTGAAGAAGTTATGTTTCATTCATTTGTTGGGTAATTCCTTTCACTGACATTTGACTGCATCGACCCTCCAGTAATTTACTGCTATATAATTTGCCCATGATCTGTAAAGTGTTTTTATTATTTTCTCCATTCCCATATTTGATTTCTACATAGCTGTTTATGGACTTAATTGCTTTTATAAGCAACTAAAAATTGGCTTTATTATAGAAATAAATAGTGAGTTGTGTGTATATTGTATGGGAGGAGATTTCAAAAGGTTCATAGAAAACTTCCATTCTCTTTTAATTCCATTTTTCTGTGAATTCTTTGAAGTCTTGTACTTTCACGTGCACACATGAAGGTTAATATCACACCTCTCCTTAGCGTTCTCCTCTGGATTTTTCATTACTCTGCTGTTGTTCTCTCTAATGAAGCATGCTTGCTTGCCTTTTGGTCTCTCCTCCTTTAGTATTCTGAGTCTTAGCCCCAGGCTTCCCAGATGGGTGCCTCTGACTCACTCGGGCCCCCTTACAGGCCAACCGATTCATCAGGGTTTACTACTGCAGCTTCAAACCTGTCCAATTTGGACTCCTGCCCTCCTTCTCTACCTGCCACCTATTCACCCACCTCTGCTTTGTGTGCCTCACCCCACCCCACCCCACACAGACTGTCTCTCTCCCACCCCCAGCTCTTCCTGACCATTGTTTCTATTTATAGCGCCACCTTGTCACTGTCTCTACTCCTCTGTCCGCTCATGCAATTAGTTGCTAATTCAGTGTGTGTATATATATATAAATTTAAAAGAGAAAGCACAGACAGCTGATACTTAAGTATCTATAGTTGTTTTTTTAATCGTTTTATTAGGGGCTCATACAACTCTTATCACAATTCATACATACATCAATTGTGTAAAGCACATTTGTACATTCATTGCCCTCGTCATTCTCAAAACATTTGCTCTCCACTTAAGGCCCCGGCATCAGGTCCTCATTTTTTCCCCTCCCTCATGAGCCCTTGATAATTTATAAATTGTTTATTTTGTCATATCCTGCCCTGTCTGACGTCTCCCTTCACCCACTTTTCTGTTGTTCGTCCCCCAGGGAGGAGGGTTTAGTAGATTTTTATATAGATATTTATGTATCTATATAAATGTTTCTGTATCTATGTATTATGTCCTTGCTTTCTCTTTTAAATTTGCATCACTTCTGCCTTAATTCAGACTTCATTGTTTATACCCGTATTTCTTAGCCTCTAGAGTATGTCTCTCCATTGGCCTTTGTCCTTCGATGCCCCACAATCAGTAAGTGCAGCAGCCTCATTTTTAAGCTCCGAGTAACCTGAGTCCAGTGTACTTGTCATTGTTGATTCTGACTAGCTCCTTCCATGTGCCCAACAGACTGTCCCACGTCCCTGTTCTGTACTCTGGTTTCGATTTCTCTCTTCCTTCCCCTTGCTATGCCCGATTATCATCTTATCCTTTCTTCAGTGCCCTCTTATTTTTTGTGAGGATTTCACCTATCAGTGATTAGTAATTTTTTTTTAATATAACATATTAGAAATAGTTTTATATCGAGGGGCTATTTCTTTCTTCAGACATTTTATTTCACCTCTATTTGTACAGAGCCATGATAAAACCACCAGACCCCTTATGGCATGGTGAGTGCGGAAGACCATCAACTCAGGTTGTTAGTCCTGTAGAGACGGGTACTGTATGAGACACCATTATTGTAAAACATGAAAAATCAACAATAAAAGTTTTGTATACCCAAAGAAACAGACTTTCATGATTATGGGGGGGGTCTTTGGGAGGAGGAGGAGAGAGAGAAGGGAGAGAAATTTAAAGACAAAAGACACAGACACACAAAGCAGTAAACAAAAAAAAAATAAAGCAAAAGACTATTTTACCATGTGCTGTGACTATTCAAGTTTTTCTTTTTTATTGCTTTTGCTTCATTTATCTCCAACCTATATATTTATAGTTTTATCTTGCTACTTAATAAAAAAAATTTTAAACTAGGCTGTAGACTATTTGTATGACTTTGAGCAAGTTACTTTATCTCATTGACTTCAGTTACCCAGTTATAGAGATCTGTGATATATATTAGATACACTGCAATTGGAATTATTTATGTAAAATTTCCTAAGTGAAACATGAAACTTCTCCTATATACTGAGATTATAGTTTCTAAAATGGAATTAATTTTTATATTTCTAGAATATAATGCAACTAAAATTCTGTTGTACCCAGCCACTACCATATATATCCTTTAGAAACATAGTTAAGGGGTAAAACAGATTTTCTTTGGTCCCAGGTAGACATTGAGGCAACCTGGAACTGGAAACAAGTCAGAACAGATACTAGGTATTGTCTAGGAAAAAATGTACAGATCATTTTATTTCTGTTTAGGACTCAGTCCCTCTGGAGTTGTCCGGAAGCTCAGCATGGTGAACTTTCGCTGGAGCAGTTAATTAAGACCTCCTGGTTATTGGGCTGTGCATACAGAATAGAGCTGCTCCTGTGCGTTCCCAAGTTTATAACTCTTTATAGGAGGAGAAAGCTTGGTCTTTCTTCCACAGGGTAGCTGATGGTGTCCAACTGCTGACACCTTGTAGGTAGAAGTCCAGTTCTTAATCCACTATGCCACCAGGACTCCTCTGAGTCAGAATTGACTCAGTGGTGATGAAATGGTGATGAACGACTATTTGATCAGATATTATAAAAGATATCCAGCATGGACCAGTTTATGGCCCTAATTTAGGATTGTAATATGACTTCTCAATCAACACAACAAACAAACCATCTATTCCATTCTGACTCTTCGGACCAAAAAAAAAAAAAAAGGATTTCTGAGGCTGTAAATCCCTACAAGAACAGATATCCTCCTTCCAAGTGGCTAGCACATTTGAACTGCCAGCCTCACTTTAGCAGTCTAATGTGTACCTGGCAGCACTTCCTCAGGCTATTCTGTATCAACAAAAAAGGGTTACATTCTGTTTGTTTCTTTGGTGAAGATATTTCACATTAACCTAACTCTCAAAAATTCATACTAGTGTATGTGGGTTGACATGGTTTATCCATTACTTGATGGGCATTTGGATTGTTTCTACTTTTTGGCTATTATGTATAATGCTGTCGTGAATATTCATTTATAGGTTTTCTTATGAATGTGTGCTTTTAATTCTCACAGGTCTATGTGTACTTCTTTAACTGAGAAAATATTGCAATTTATATAGAAAACTATATATGCTCATTGTCCTTAATTAGCTCTCTTTCCTTTGATTAGATTATTTACTGAGATGGTAACAGACATATAGCTTTCCAGAAGTGTAATCAGACCTGAAAAAAATTTTTATTTGGATTTTCTACTACCTGTTTCCAGAGAAAATTAGCTGCATAAGAAAGAGCAGCTATATACTTACCTGGCAGGGGAGACACCATGATCAGGAAGGTGGTTTTCCCAGGGCGAGGCTCATCCATTTCACTGCGGGTATGCTGTCCCCTGCGATTTCCCCAAATGTGGGAAACTCGACCGCATAATTTATGGTAGTAGGGGACTGTGTTTACGCTCTCCCCTGAAAAAAAAGAGAAAGAGCAGCTATAGTATGGTGAGGTATTTCAGCAGAAGAATTTTTAAAATGCTGGGTTGGTGTGGGAAAGAAAAAGATTCCCACCACCACAGATCTGACTTAAATCCCAGGGCAGAAGCAGTTTAATTTATTCACAACCTTATAATAAAATCTGCACAGTAAACCAGGCTAGGAAACACTTTGTCCATTAAATTAGCGAACACTTGCCTTCTGCGCTACTGAAACACATTAAAGCCCAAAGTTTTATAGAATCGCCTGATGGATCAACCAAGTGCACCTGTACAATGGAATGTTATTTACCCATTAAAAAAGATGGAGCACTGAGGCATGGATGAACCTCAGAGACATTATGCCCAATGAAAGATGCCAAACACAAAGATGCAGAATAAGAAGATTGATAAGGACCAAAAGGGTAAATTATAGTAGCCAGGGACAAGGAGGAAAGGTGTATATGACATCTTCTAGGTAGTAGGATGGCATTTTAGGACGAGGAAAACATGTTGCAAAAGAGTTAAAGGCAACAGAGTTAAAATACTATTATGTACAAAATCCTATAGTAACAGTAACAGTAATCTACAGATGGATGATACATAAGTAGAGAAACTAAACAAGTGTAGGAAGGTGACTGGGATTGTACTAAGTATATAGGTAGGCTTGACAAAGTATGTATTTACATATGTATTTACGTGTAATGCAAATATATACATGTATACAGTAGGACATTCATGGCACATGGGGAAAAGGTATGAAAGTTTCTCGGTGATACCGAAACACCTTGAAGGGAATGAGTCACTGGGGACGGGTACTTAAGGACCACAATCTCATCTCAGGAGACTTCTAGGTCAGTTGGCATAATGTAGCCTACAAAGACAGTGTTCCGCAGCCTAATTTCGTAACGCCTAGGATCTTAAAGCATACAAGTGACCATTTAAGATACAACTGTTGGTCTCTCCTCATCTGGAACAAAGAAGGGCACAGAAAACCAAAGGTGTCAGGAAACTTGCCTGAAGGACTAGTGCACCTCGCAAACCTCCGCCTCCAGGACCCAGAGATCAGACGAAGTAGGTGGTACCAGGCTACCATTACCAATGACTCTGATTCAGATCACAGTGGAAGGTCCTGGGCAGAGTAGGAAGCAAATCTGGAACAAAAATCAAAATAATTTTTAAAAGACCAAATTTAGTTATCTTACAGACTACTGAATCCTATGAGATTATGGCTCCCTAGGCACATTTCAAACCTAAAACTGACTGTATCGCCATACAATGGCTAGGCCTACCCTGTTTCCCCGAAAGTAAGACATCCCCCGAAAATAAGGCCCCCCGAAGCTACCGTAACTCTGGACTCTAGACCGTAGTGGTGGGCGCCTCCGTGCAACTCCTGTTGACTGCAGCGCAGCCAGAGCAGACAGGAAGTGCGAGGTCTCTTTTAATAAAACAATAAATGTGTACTGTATTCTTCAAAGAAAAATAAGCGCATCTTTGGGAGCAAAAATTAATATGACACTGTCTTATTTTCGGGGAAACAGGATATAAAGTGAAAAATAACCCGGAGGATGATATTCCAGCTCAGAGCAGCCAGTGCACAGAAAGGACCATAGGGCCGGCCCCACTATGAGACACAATGTCCCTCTCTGACCCATAACACTACAGGGGATAGCACTGGAGACAGTGTGGGAATTGATGCCCGATCTGACCCCACCACACCGAGGCAAAACACTAAGGGTGTGCATCAGAAGAGTAAGGGGAGCAGAGCAATGAAGTCCCCAGGAAATACCAAAATTAGACTTTGGGGCCAGGGCATGGCACCCCATCAGACTCTACTGGAAAACACTCCTAAAGGCCAACAAACAGTCCTTGAACTATTTCTAGACTTTTCCTCTTTGTCATAGGTTTTTGTTGTTGCTGTTTTGTTTTCTTTTGTTGCTTAGTTTTGCTCTGTCTTGTTTTTGTGCATATTATTATCTTTGCACAAAAGGTCTATCTAGATAAGATAGGCAGGATAAACAATCTGGAGGAGAAAACGGGACCTACCCATTGGCGGTGGGGGAGTGTGCTGGGGGGCTGGGGAAGGCTAGGCAGGGGGAAGTAAGTGGGTGTTAACAAACCCAGGGACAAGGGAACAACAAGTGATCCAAAATCGATGACCAGGAGGGTGTAGGAGGCCTGGTAGGGCTTTATCAAGGGCAATGTAACCGAGAGCAATTACTGAAACCCAAATGAAGGCTGAACATGATAGGTGGGACAAGAGGAAAGTAAAAGGAAATAGAGGAAAACTAGGAGACAAAAGGCATTTATAAAGGTCTAAATACAGGCATGTACATATATAAATATATTTATATATGGTGATGGGGAAATAGATCTACATATATTTATAGGTTTACTATTAAGGTAGCAGATGGACATTGGGCCTCTACTCAAGTACTCTCTCAACACAAGAACACTTTGTTCTGTTAACATGGCATTCTGTGGATGGTGCTTACTTTCCCTACATGATCACTGAAGACAAAGCGGGTGCATAAGCAAATATGGTGAAGAAAGCTGATGGTGCCCGGATATCAAAAGACATAGTGTCTGGGACCTTAAAGACTTGAAGATACACAAGTGGCCATCTAGCTGCGATGCAGCAAAGGGCACATGGAAGAAGCACACCAGCCTGTGTGATCACGAGGTGTCAATAGGATCAGGTATCAGGCATCAAAGACCCAGAACAAAAAATCATATATCAATGGGAATGAGGGGGGTTGTGAAATGGAGACCCAAAGCCCATCTGTAGGTAACTGAATATTCCCTTACAGAATGGTCGAGAGGAGGAGATGAGCCAGTCAGGGTGCAGTATAGCACTAATGAAACAAAGGATATTTATAGAGCTCTAGATAAAGACATGTACATATACAAATATATGAGGATGGGGAAATAGATCTATGAGCCTACATTTACAGGTTTAGTATTAAGGTAGCAGAAGGACATTGGGCCTCCACTCAAGTACTCCCTCAACACAAGAATACTTTCTTCTAGTAAATTG